TTAGTAAGTATGCTGACATCATCCATAGCAACAAGGTCAACCTCGCCCTTACTCTTAGCTTAAGACTTCTGTCTATTCCTTAGTAAAAGTTTGTCTCAGCAGCTTTGTAAATAGGTTTTAAGAGAAAACTCTTAGCTAAAAACTTTTACTGCTATTTAGGAGAACTCTTAGTGGTAAGATAAAATGTTTTGTGAATACGGGCCCTGATCTATAACAATACATCTGTTTCACTTTAAATGCTTTTCAGCTACTATAACTTAAGTCTTTAGGGAAAACAGTTATTATACATCTGAAATGGATGCAGACACCACATAACTAATGTCTATATTGTCAAACATGTACAGTAGTCAAAGGGATTTCAAATCAATGGATTTATTAAATACAAAATAGAAAACATTCAATTCAGGTTAATACAGCTACATATAGTCAAAAATGTAAATACACAAAGTACCAAAAAAAAAGCAAACAAAGCAATGTAAGATTGTAGGATTTCGTCAAGTGAAAGTTGATGTGTGCGAAAGTCTTATCTGTAGTACATCAATGTCCAAATGTCCAATGTCCAAAACTCCGCAATGTTTAGAGGTAGGAGTGGGATTAGCGACTATAAAAATATATTTTTAATGCTGTATTGTTACTAAAATGAACATTTCCCTGCGTATTTCAGTTAATTACATTTTATATATTTTTATATTCTTTAAAATGGTTAGGTTTGGGGTAAGGGGTCTAAAAATCTAAATCGCTTATCGATAAAATTATAAAAACGCATTTGATACAAATATCTTACTGAGTTTGTAAATATTTGACGTTTTTTAGCTAAAAATACGTAGCAATTTTTACATTTTAAATGTTGAAAATCAGCATCAATAAAAACTTACAAAAATGTGCGTTTTGTGCTTGCAAACGATATCTACCTACGTATAAACAATGAGACCAGGCTGCATAAACCCATTCCTAATTATACTGCCCCATTGAACTGAATGCAAGAATTGCATAAGAGTTACAAATAAATATGATAAAATAATAAAAATTATCCACTGAGTGCATGGTTCATGAAATTCATCGGCCTTGTTCATAAGTGCTTGCTTTACTGTCTTGTTTAAGGCAAGAACAGCAATCTTCCACAGTGCACTTTGTACACTGACCTGAATTTCTGGGGCAGCTGCAAAATAGTTTAGGAAATAACAGAGCCATGTGCATGTTGTGTTGACCTCAGTTGAACTGTTAAAATAGAACAACTTGTTCTCCTTCATGAAGGGGTCTATATAATGTGTTGTAAATTTGCACACTGCTTTTGTTCGACCTGTTTGTCTAAGGTTAAAGTTTATTATGTATAAAGACATCCCTGCTGAAAAAGGAAAGAAAAAAAGTCAAAGCTGATTTGCCTGTGTATTCATTTTATGCTCATTTCTGCATACTTGTTTATATATCTCTGCATATGAAAGGGACTGATGTGAAAAAAAATCTTATGTGTTACTGTTATTTGCACTCATGCAACAAGATTTGTCGAAGCTAGTTTGCTGGTCTCTCGGTCTGGTCTGCTGACTGGTTTAAAAGGGGCACTTTTCAGCTGCTCATTTTGAAAGACTAAACCACCTGGACACCAGCTCAATCAGGCTTTGAGACTAACTAAGACCAGCACAAATGGCTCCAAAGCATGTAATTTTGGTAGCGGGACTTTCTCATTTTTGGTCTGTACAAATGATTTTTCTAGTTTTCATTGACCAGACAAAAACAAAACAGTTTGTTTTCCATACATCAGCAAAACTGCAACTCTAAACTCATTACTTTTTACGTCACTTCCTGTTTGTTGCTGCCGTGTGTTTTGAGTTTGAGCTCCGTCAAGTTAATTCTTTATTGTCTATTTTTTATCTTAAAATCAATTTTATACAGCATCATTTTCATTTCTATAACGTGTGAATATATCCCCTATCGTATTCTACAACAAAAACAATCAGAGCGCCTTGTTATCACTAGTTCTATTTTGACTTCCCGAGTCCGCTATTAGCATATAGCCCGTTAGCATCGCCAGCGTGGTTGCCGCTAATCTCGCTTACATTGCTAATACTCTATTCACACACATTACCATTGTTTTACTCACTGTTACTTGCTTTAATGGCGGATGTGTGTCTACCTTTGAGTACAGGTGAGGACACGTTCAAGCTGCATTCGGTGCAGCTCGAGCTGGAGGCCGTGGAGAAGCAGATCCGCGACCTGGTGGAGAAGCAGGCCCAGCTGAGGGAGCGGA